CTTGGCCACAGAAAAGGAAGACAATGAGGGTGGGGAGGCCCTTTCTCAGTCACTGGCACTTCTTTCATATCCCCTGAAAAAAAGAGAGGGTGCTTGCTCGGCATTTTACGACAGGTGCAAACATTAAAGGCATGCTAATATGGCTGTGTATTCACATGGCTGTGTTTTGGAGGCAAAGTAATTTCTAAAAATTCTCTGTTATAGTGAAGTGAACACAGCATGAAGAATTTGATCCCCACTACCACGGCTCTTCATCATGCTAGCCCTGTGACAGTGTTCCTGGTTATGGGTGAGTACTCTTGCGTTTGCAGAAGAGTTGAAAAGCAGGCTAATTGGTACATAGTCACTGTAAAATATTGGCAGCGCAAACTCATGGGACACAAAAAGAGTGGGACACAAACAAGTGAAAACAAGCACTGCACTTGTTTGTGTCCCACTCTTTCTGTGTACCATTAGTTTGCACTGCAAATATTTAATACAGTTATGCTTACCTGTGTCCACATGACACCATGCTTGGTCTTTACCTAATAAGCAAATGCTATATGCAACTTATACAGGAAGGGAATAACCAGCGGCGCTTGCATAAAAGTTGTGCTAAAGAAGGTAAAGAATATATATACTAGCAGTTTTATGTGGCTGATAAAACTGTGAGCCTTACTTTATAGTCTAATACTTCGGGACAATACACTGTATAAAAAGATATCAAGAAAACGAAAGTCCAGCATGACAAGTATGTCGGTGTGCCGTTGATTGCAAAAGGAATCCTCTGTTCTAACTAATAATAATGTAGCGTGCGAAAACTGAGACAGAGGACAAGGGAAGGGGCAAAGAAGAGAACTACGGGGGGCACATGCTCTTAACGCTCCTTTTTGCCCCTTTCCTTGTACCTTGTCTCAGTTTTCACGTGCTACGTTATTATTACTTATCCATTACCAACACGCCCAACTACATACCTTTGTTCTAGCTCTGGGAACTACCTGTGTGCAGTGCAGTAATGATTTGTTAAACACAAAGTGGTGGTCGCTATAGTGCTTGATTCTCTTTTCTCAATGAATTTATAAACAAGCTAGATGTTTTCTCTTAAGAAAACCTTCTCGAAAGTTAGTACTCGCAAAAGCTTTTTCACCCCACTGAATGCCTTCAGGTGTTATGGGGCAATCAAATGAATTACATGTGCCTCTCATCCTGTTTCTTCCTTATTCTTCTGCTTCAAGTCACAAAAATGTGAATTAGAATCAGATTAACACGCTTCAACGATTTACCAAAAAACACCCTTCTGTCTGTAAGAGCAGGGTTATATGCGTGGTCACCTACATCAGGGGTCACAAACTCACATCACCTACCAGGCTCCTGTCCGTATAAAATTTGGTCCTGCAAACGGCCGGGACAGTGAAAATTCGGATTTCACGAACGCCTCCCCCCACCCCACACACACACAAGGTGGTGAAAAGTGGCCGCAGAATTGCAAATAGTCAAGTAAATCATCCGTGAGAATGGTAACAACAGAAGCATTTATATTTTGACAGCTTCAGTCAGAGTCTGGCTTCCGTCAGGAAGGCCCTACTGTCAAAATAAACGCTTCTGTTGATACTGTTCTCACCGAGGATCTACTTGACTATATATATATATATATGTGTGTGTGTGTGTGTATGTGTGTGTGTACTTGGGAAGAGAAAAACACACCTTAGCGGTTGTCTTAATTTTATTACCAATGATTTCGACCGATAGACCGGTCTTCGTGAGGGTTTGTGAAAAAGTGCGAACTTGTTCGCGAACCCAGACGAAGACCGGTCCACCTGTCGAAACCGTTAGTAATAAAATTAAGACAACTGCTAAGTTGTTTTTTCCCTTCCCTCCTCCCCCCCCTCTCTCTCTCTCTCTCTCTCTCTCTCTCTCTCTATATATATATATATATATATATATATATATATGGTTAATATCTGAAAGGGATATGATGTAAGTATTTGAAAAATAAATGAATACTGATTTCCACAAGGACTGAAATCTGGAATGAAGTACAGTGCTTTTGTTTTGCAGTTACGTTTTAATGCAAGGTGACTGCACGGGCTGCCCCGCGAAAAAAAAAAAAATGCTTAAGACCAGTCACATCTGTGTACCTTACCCGAACAAAACATTAGTAATCACGATAGGCGAGAAAATGTTGCCAGCACCACTTAGCAATGCTACAAACAGCCACAAAGCCATTTAAAATAGGGGGACAAAGACTCATGTGTGCGTTGCAGGCCGCTAGAATATGATTGATGGGCCACGTGTTTCAGACCCCTGATGATTAAGGTTCAATAGGTTATCATACCAAATATTTTTTACAAAAACATAAAGACGATGATACAATGCTTCATCCTGTAGCTGCACGTTTGTCTTTACCTAAGCAACATCAGTATCAGGCTCTAATAACACTAATGAAAATGAAAAGACAGCTAGTGATTATAATGACCAGTTTTTGTGGTATTATTGCCATGATCTACCATGAACACTAAGGTACTTGAATTCAATTGTCTATGTTAGCATGCCTTTCCTGAGGCTGTCCTAGCACACCTCAATGAGGCTGCGTTGATTGGGGCCAAGTGATAGGAGTGTCTCTTGGCATATCTTTTCGTGTTGCCTGTTTCTTTGAGTATGGTCGAAATATAGCGACTGCACAAGTATATGAGTCATGCTTTGATGCTTGCTTTTTATAAGCACTGAAACATTTTTCATGCTATAGCACATATATGAGTGTATTATTTTAGTTGAAAGTTTGAGCTAGTGTAACTTTTACCCTTGATCGAAGTTTTTAAGAGGAGCACTAGTAAATGTACCATGACTTCCTACGAACTAGCCCATACAAGTACCCTTCTAACTTATTGTGTTTATTATAACTGTGTTCTATTGGATATAGCTAGGAAGAAGGAAAAGGACCGTTCTCTTATTGTCTCAAGATCAAGTGCACAAAAAGGCATGCTGTTTCCTACCTAGACATAGCAAGAGTTTCCGTTCTTTAATGTATTTGCATAAGAAGTGCGCAATGTGTTTAAGAAATATTACCAGAGTGATAATATTTATAGCTATGTGCTTTTGAAGTAAGGAAGATTTCATAGTGCTCAGTGACACGAAACTACTTCCTGCTCTGCATGAAATCATGAGCTTAGTGGGAGACAACATAGCTGCTGCAATACATTTGCCGTGCTACATGAATGGGCAATGTAGTGCGTAAGAAACAGTTAAAGGAAGCCACATGATCAATGGAGAGCCAGGTGTTCTGACAATCTGTATCGCCAGTTACCGCTTGTCCCACTAATTATTAGCATCAATCAAAATTTTCACAAGCGACACAAACTGCCCAACTAGACTTGGCATTTGGCCTGCCATCCCTTCTTGCCATTGTTTGAGTGCAATCAATGCAAGAAAAAGAATAAAAAAACATTGCATCAATTTTCTAGCACTGAAAGACAAAGCACTCATATGTGCCTCATCATTATACTTCACTACTTTCAAGATGCTGAATTTATGGTCTTTATTTGAACATCCTGCACGCACACGATCATGCTATATAATACCAGCTCTGACAGTAGTACCATCCATTAAAGGCTATGAACTCATAAAGTACTACAGTAGTACTTGTATTTGAATGCAAAATACACTGAAGTGCAGGAAAAAAATCTGGGGAATATTCACCAAAAATACTTATTTATAACATTGTCTCTCTTTGAAATATTCACAATTAATATGGATACTGAAATACTATAGTAATCATATTGCTTATAAAATAAAATTCATGATTTTTTAACATGACACCTCCTTAACACATGTCTCAGAATATCTACATGAATGTAAGCTGCAGACAGGTGCCATGCTTGTTTTCAGAGCAAAGCACACAGAAGCACAATGCAGCTTTGTTTATTAGTTTTTGTATGTACAGTAGAAACATCCATTGCAGAAAATGGACACTTCAGAAAACACGAAGAAAGAAGACAGAACTTGTACAAAGCAGAGTATTAACAGGCCCACACTTTGCAATGCTTCTTATTCTGATGTTGGCATCCTTCGCATGCATACACAACCTTTTTGGTCTTTCATTCACACACTCATTAGGCAGTTCCTTTTTTTTTACATGGGAAGAAAAAGCAATGAACTTCCATTATTATAAATACTCTGCTGAAGTGTTAATTCTGCATCTGATCTAGAAATGTATGCACACCACTCATACAGGACATTGATAACATCGCATTTCAATCATAAAGTAACCCTAATAAATCATAAAAACAAGATGAAAAATTGCAAAAAATAGACAAAGGACATTTATCCAAAGAACAACAAGGCAGATTTCCCATACTGTGCAAAGTTCCAACCAGGAAAAAAAAAAACAGTAAGAACGTCGAAAGCAGCTACTATAAGAGAACCATCTTTCAGCCATCAAGTGAAAGTATTGCACCACCGTTTGAGGCACAGAGGACACATAATAATGCTGCTGCCATCATAGTGAACCTTGCGATCCATGTGCAAATGCCTAGCAGTCTTCTTTTTTTTCTTTTAACAGGAACAAGATAGATCACCAAGTGACGAGTACACAAGAGACTCCATATCACTATGGATAACAAAATGCAATTTGCTGGTCGCCCATAATTTGATGAACATCAGGGTAACATGTAGGCAACTTTGACAGTGTGCAGATCCAACATCAAAGTAATGTCAAAATAAATGAATGGCTAGCTATATCTGTTGATGCATACTTGATGAATATATTATTAATATATCTTACACGGCATGTACTGTCCCGAACTCCTAAAATTTGTGGGTGAATACAAGCAGCAATCACATGGTAAAATGTAAGCAGCAGTGCCTTTTAGCAGAATCATGACACACATTTGCCAGACATCACAGCTCTCATGAGGTCATTCTAAGTCATTTTAAGGTATGCAACCATACAGCAGAACACAACAAGAAAAAAGAAGAGAAGCCCCAGCCACTCGTCAATTTTTCACAGAAAGGCTGCAACTTACTTTGTCTCAGCCTCTTTTAGGCTCGCAGTCAATTGTACCACCTTTTGCTCCAGCTTCGTAGCTTGTTCTGTTTTTGCCTTTAGTGAAGATTCACAATCCTAGAAAAAAAAAATTAAGAACAGAAGCATTTGTTATTAAACGCCATAACTGGTGTTGTGTCATTCAATCTGCATAAGTAGCTAAAATGACTGATTGTACATGTGTACAGATTAAATTCTGATGATACTAAAAGCAGTACTTTGAGTAGTGTGTCAAAATGTTAGCCTTCATCCGTTATGATAGTTTATGTTTTGCTTACCTGAAGTTTGTTGAACAATTGAAGGTTAATAGCTTTGATGTCCTCCAGTTGTCTGCGTAAGCTCACTATGCTGTCCTGCTTTTCATGGATGTCTTTTTCAAGCAATTTCAATGCCATCTCTGCTTCCTGAAAGAAGCACGCATGCATTCCAAGTACCAAAACAAAAAAACAAAAAACTAACATCAGCTGAACCAAATCACTAATGTGAAAGGTGAAATGTGAAATATGGCAGGGGTGCCACGGACAAAACAGGATTTGTAGCAATTTATGAGGCAGGAGAATGTTGCTTTGGCCGCGCATAAATGCAAATTTGCAGCATATTACAAAAAAATAAAAGACATTTTTTTTAGCCCAAAATCCCAGATTTGGAGCAGTAAAACAAAGAAGGCTTGCTTCCAGAAAAGAAAACAAAAATGCTCACAAACCATGCATTATCACCTTACTTGTACATAGTGCACGTGAACATTGCAATTTCAATACTTTTAGCAATGTGTTGAACCACACACAATGCAACCAATGACTAAGTGCACATTAGCATTTGCAGTGCCCTTCAAATGATTTGACAGGCACTGCAAACGCTGAATCAGGAGATCTCAAAATTCTGAAAACACGTAAAGCAGAAGCAAGTGGGGATGTTGAAAAAAAAAAAACAGGTGCACATTTTTCTTTATTGCTTCTCAGGGCTACAGAAACATCATACACAGCTTTGAATGATTACCACTAACTTTTAACACGAAAGTGTTTCATGCCGGAGTCTACGACGGCTCTGCGACTTATTTCTCTCATGGATATGACGTGAAATATTTACTAACAGATTGCAAAGAGAAAAAAACTAGAAGAAAAAGTTTCGCAGTGTGGCGTCGAACCAGCGACCTCGCACTCTTCATCGTGCGATGCTAACCACTAGACTACTGATCAGCCCTCCTCAAACATGTTAACAACGAGCCATTTACATACACCATGTACCGCTGGTGATCCTCAGAGCTCGAATACTTCAGTCTCTTTCAGTAATCAGTAGCACGATTGCATGACAGGCACGCGCGCTCTAAGGGTCGTCGTGTTGCACAACTCTGCACGTCGCCGTACACGCGCACCTCCAGGGAGTGGTCAAACTGCGTATAGATGTTCTCTAGTGTGGTGTCTTGGACGCCCACGCTTATCTCGGCATTCTAGTGCTTCCACCACAAGTTTGCTTTGAAGTTGCTGCCGTTAAAGAGAGTGCGGACGTCAACTTGCTCACTGCAACAACCGTATTTACAAAGGGAGCCCGCTGCTAACACATGAAGTAAGAATTGTGACAATTGTTTGTCCATGCTCGTCCTGTGTATGATCCCTTCATGCATACTTTCTGCTTTCTGCTGGTGTGTGCTGCAAGTTTCAAGCTGCTTGCCCTTCTTGACGTGACATTGAAATTTGCTACTGCAGCATCATTCCTTTGCTCTTGTGGTGAAACAATGCACAATGAATGCTCCACAGCCTCTGTGAAGACACGTTTCAATTTTGCATTATACTGATTCCTAAAAAGAAAGATCAACCATGTTTTTTTTTTGTTTTTTTAACATCGATGATCATACTAGTACTTGTAGATATATGGCACGTGTAAGAACGAGCAATTAAGGAACAAAACATGCAGTGTCCAATAACAGCTAGTATTAACGACCCTTTCTAAATCTTACCATGCTTTTTCACAGGGTACAAGTGCACTGTGGTGAAGGTAACAAAAAAAAAGTGTTCTGCACAAGATAGAACAAGGCATATAAATTTCGAACCGTGTGTCTATATATTTTTTTTTTTTTTTGGAGCAGCTAGGGTTAGGGTCTGCGTGTTTGGATTAAGTTTGTTGATGCCTGAACTGCACGTGGCCAATGCGGACTACATGTCTTGCTTAAATTAGCGCAACTGAGAAAATTTTAAGAATGGTCGAGCATTTTGGCACAGCGCGGCGTCATTTCAACAAATTTTTCCATGGTTTTTTCACTCAGCTTGGAGCAAAAATAAAGAATTGTATTAAATCAGCTCAATTGCCGTAGCTGTTGTACGTCTGATAATGCAACCGTATGGTAATGATGGCACTCGTACTTTCCCGCTGCCATCAACTAATTTATGTTATGCAACACTTCATGTTATGTTGTTGCTGCATTTGCTGCAGAGAAAATTGATCTGTCCAGTCATCATGCCAAGAAGGTGAGTGTCAAATCAAAAGAAACTCTTACCCTTTGTTTTTACTAGCTTTTGCAAGCAACGATCTGAATTTTAATAAATGGCGAGAAAAGAGAAGTTATGTCATGATCTCGAGGTGAGACTTGCTTCCTCTCATTTCATCTCTTTTTATTCTGTTTCGTAGCCAATTCCTAATGGTGGTATTGTGCATTCCACATTAGCTGACTAATTGGAGTGATAATGGCCAGTGATGGTGGGATGGTGGTTCTCACCTAGGCTATCCACTTTACTAAACTGCCCTCCAATGAATGCAATACTCTGGAATACCAAAAACATGTGTTGTCATTTGTTGCTGCTGGTTGGTTTATGGAGTTCAATGTCCCAAAGCAGTTAAGGCCATGAGGGAAGCCAAGGTGAAAGGCTGCAGATTTTAGCCACCCGGGGTTTCTTAACATCAATTAACATCATGCAGAATATGTGCCTCCAACATTTCGTCTCTGTCGAAGTCTGAACACTACAACTATGCTTGAACTTACATCGTTGGGGTCAGTAGCCGAGCACTGTAACTGCTGAGCCACTGTGACAAATACCTTGTTGCTGCTAGCACATAAAAAATTTACATAGTTGGAATGCATTTTCATAATCTGACTCAAAGAGAGATGTTATTGTTATGTGAGAACTTGTTCTGTTATCACTTTGATCACCCTCTTGTGATGGCGATAGTGATGGTGATCAAGGTACGGTAATCACACTGGCTAGGCAGTCCTCGATGGTAGCCTGCTGCAAACGCAGCAAAACTAAGTTTTGGTTTCGTATCAGATTGCACTGTGGAAGCATCCATGGGATAAACATTCATGTGAAAAAAAGGCACGCATAACAATATTTCAGATTTTCATTTCCAATTATTCCTGAGGAACCCCAGGGGCAGGCCAAAAGTCGGCATTTTTAATACGATATGGCTTGCATTCCCTGTAACCCAAATGCTACCAAAGGAAATGCTGGCATTATTGGAGTCACCAGTGAATTCACCACTGAGGACAGGCATGTGCATGCTGCACAGGAAAGCTGGAGTTATTTAGAAAATTACAATTTAAGGACTGAAATAAATAAAATTTAAGCCGATAGAAATGTGTGGGCATAAAATAAAAGCTTCCGTCGGGATCAAACCAACGCTACTAACAGAACCCTACTGTATTCTAATGCTTTAAAGGCTCTTTCTTTCCAGGCACAGGCTTAGGGAAACAATGATATTGTACTCTATGGATGTGAGGAACTGCCCTTTGTGACCTCAAGCAACTGTGATTTGTAGTACACAGACAACAGCAGGTGTGAAAATGAATTTTTTTTTCCTAGCAGGCAGGTCGAGCGCACTGAGACTGTACAGTGCAGACAGTATATATGCACACATAACTACTACTCTACACCTTCAAAATACAAACTGCATGACTAAGAAGTAGGAAGCTTTTTATACTCGACAGCTCTCTAACTACTTGCAAACTATTGATGATAAAGAACACTCAAGAAGGCTTCACATTATAGCATATGACAGTGCACATCAGGTGAAAGGAAGATCAAGGAACAAAACGATAACACAAGTGCTCTTTTATGTTGATCCTTTAACCCAGTTTGCACTGCCATACAAGTTTAGTTTTTAGTTTTAATATTAAAAATTTAATAATAAATGTGGCTGGAGAGTCTGTTTATATTTGTATAATTTTACCCAGCCAAACAGATCTGTCAAATATGTTTACTTTTAAAACTTTATTTATCAACCAACAAGCCCACCAATACATCTTGATTAAGACTTCCTAGCCAACAATTAACAATGAGAGTACATACTCAATGCATTGCAGCAATGCTTAAGATCAGCTTTTAGGAAACTCACCTGTCTCCTGTCCACTTCCTCAGACAGCTGCCTCCGAACCTCTGTGTACAGCGAGTCCAGACCAGCCTGGTTTGCCTGCAGAGTCTCCCTCTCAGCGCACATGTCAGCCTTTGCATTCTGTTCACATGTAGACAGAGAAAAAGAAGAATTACAAAATACATCATTGCAGCTTTATCAAACTTCCTTCACTTGTTTACAGTAACATAAGCCTCAAAGGACAATGTAAAGGGCACATGTGATAATTTAACTGTTAAGCTTTTACATCCTGAATTCACTATATGATTATGAGGAGATGTATAGTGGCGGGAGCCGAAAATTTCGACCACCTGGGGTTCTCTAAGTGCACCTAAATATAAGTACACAGGCTTCTAGCACTCTGCCTCAATAGAAGTGTGGCCACCACAACTGGTATCTTCGGTACTGCAGTCAAACATGATAACCACTAGACTATAGAAGTGGGTGTGCCCATTTATTCCCCCTTTACGCATATCTTTCATATTTTACATCATTACTGTAAAAAAATAAATTCTCAAGAAAAATGTTATCCTCTTAATTATTGCTACAAATATTAAGCATAAAGAAGTTAATGTATGAAAGAACTCAAAGTGTTCAGCACGTTTGAATTATTTAGTTGCATTAGGAAGTTTGTAAAAGCTGGAAAGGGGAGCTTTGAGCTCTTAGAAATCTAAAACTGAAATCTAAAATTGAAGTGTGGAGACACTCATATGCTACCCCATGCCTGCAAATGTGAAAAGTCTGGGAGGGTGCCCCAGACAAAGAGCATCCCACGTACAGGTGATGCAGACCACACAGACAGCCGCATCAAGCTGAAACAGGCTGCCGACAATAGGAAAAAATAATCGTAGCAATGATTGTGGGATTACGCCAACAAGCAAGAAACTTGTGTGTAGACAATAACATCATTTGTTACATAAACTGCGAAATAATGAAAGCAATAATGATACTGTTCTTGTGGGACCATACACAGGAATAATACAGCAGCGCTGTCGCTTGCACCATCTAGTTTGTAAGAGAGCCATCACTTGTTACGTTCTATGCTTTGTGATTAGGTATGGCTTCAGCCTTATCAAAATAAAACTACAGTCATCACTGATGCGGCTACACATTTTGAGTCGGCAACATGGAAACATGCATTCGAAGAAAGACCTATATGTTTCAAATTATTATCAAGTAACAGCGTTTTTATTCATTTGTTTCAGCAAAAACTTGAAAAAACTATCAGAAAACTTGGAAGCCGGGTTTGGAGCTAACTTAGTTTCATTCACTCCAACTGACAACAACCCTAATCTCTCAGTTGCCTGTTGGAGAATGACAATTTTTTTCGTTGAACGGGAATATCGTAAACTCAGGTTTCATAAAATCCAAGTTTCAACTCTAGTTTGCCCCATGGTTCAGGGCTCCATTGATGGCTGTTAGAATGACTAAGCTTAGTTAGCTTCTGTTTTGAAGATATGCCGATAATGAAAATCTAAAACTCTTTACTCCTAGAGTAAGTAGCTGAATAAAATGCGCTTGTGCAAGTCCAGTCCGAATTGCCAAAAGTATACCGTAAGTACACTATAACATTAAAGGGACACTAAAGGCAAATAACAAGTTAATTAAAGGCAAATAACAAGTTACGCCAGAGCGAAAGATTAATTTTGGGAATGTCTAAAATGCAAATATTATCAACAACTCTACTAATTGAGAAATTGCGGTAAATGTACACCACATGCACCACGAGTCGAACAAGTTTGAAACGATCCCAATTACGACAGAGTGTCCAATTACAATTAATCACTGGTAAGCAAACCAGCTTCAGTAAAAAAAGAACCTTCCGTGCATTACAACACACAGTCCAATGCTACCTGTACATTTTTGTTTGATTAATCGAAAAAAGAACAGGCAGGTGTTACTATGGGGATAGGCTCAAGCGGTTCCAAAGTTATGTTTTTTGCCTGGTTAGGCTGGATAGGTGGTGCCATCTAGTGGGGCCCAGTTGAAACAAGCAAGCAGAAAATTCTTCAGTGGCCGTTGTTGCCTCTGTGGCTCCCGCTACTTTCATTCTGTGGCTAGTGCTGGTGTCCATGCAGTAAAGGCGGGCCACGGAAGCAGTGACGTCAGAAACACCACTTTCAGGCAGCTGAATTGAAGTGTGCTAATGTGATGCGAACCACTAAAACGTCATTTTGTTTCGAAATGACAATTTCCTTTACACAAAAGTTTTACAAGGTTTCTGGACAGCTATTTCAACAATCAACATCGACTTAATATTTGCTTTTAGTGTTCCTTTTAGGCTGCCTTCATTTTGTAAGTATTTAAAGTGCAGTGTGAGGGGCGTGATATAAATCAGTCGAGGTTTGTACATGCTCAGTTATTAAAATGTATAAAATTCTTGCATGCTCAAGTCTTCAAAATAATTATTGGGTTTTACATCCCAAAACTATGGTATGACTATAAGAGATGCCATAATGAAGGGCTCTGGAAATTTTTACTATCCGAGATTACTTAATGAGCCCCTTAATCTATGTACATAGATTTAGGGGTACATGGATTTTGTATCCATCGAAATGTGACCGCTGCGGCCAGGACTTGATTTTACAACTTTAAGGTCAGCAGTTGAGCACAATACCTACGAGACTACCATGGCGAGTCTTTGTCTATATGAAGGATGGCTTTGTAGGTAGAAAACAAGTATTACAAGAATACACCATATTGACTAGCCTAATGAGTGTACCTTATTTACCTGAATTACTGAAGCAAAGTTACGGTGTGTGTTTGTTGTGAGGGATAAATTTCACAAAAACTTTTTAGGGGGTGAGAAAGAAATAGAATAGGCTTGTGCAAATATTAAAATGCTTCAAATATTCAAATGTATATTGCAGCATTTGAATTTGCTTCAATTAGCACTTAAATCATTGAAAATTTAGAAGTATTCGAGATGAAAGAATAGACATATATTATTCTGCATATAACCCCTGTAAAGGTGGTTTCATTGCAGTAGAGGGGTGCTACACCATGAAAACACCTGCCTAAATGTATACTACAGTCGAGCCCGCTTATAACGAACCTGAGCGTGACGCGGCATTCGTTCGCTGTATCCCGAAGTTCGTAGTAAATGAAACACAGCTTTTAAAAAAAGCTGCGAGTGAAAACAAACTTTTTTTGCCCCAAAAAGTTCGTGATGCACGTGTTTCGAAGAGCAGAAGCGATAAGGGCGGTCTTGAGTGCATTTAAAACGGCAGGGTGCTCGTTCGCCGAGGCCCGTGGCATATGCTGCATGAGGCACTGGCTCCAAAATTTTGTCGTTCTCGCAATCCAATTCGTCCAAATCCCTCTCGCCACGTACTTAATTCACGATGCCCCAATCGAGCTTGGTTCCGCAGTGTCGGCATCATCATCGGCCGTAATTACACCATTGCAGCAGATGTCCTACCCACCCTCCCAGGTCGGAGTCAACGACGCGTTGCCACAAATCGCCCTCGCAGTTCGGAAGCTTCAGGCTCGGCATCAGGCCCGACGTCGACGAAGTCAACCCACGAAAACAGTTTCGCACGCATGTAGCCGTCACCGTTGCCGGCAAAATATTCACCATCTCCACAGCTGAATACCGGGGCGCCCGAAGCGGCAAGTTGGCTGCCAGGTCGTCAACAGCTATGAGCAAGCGCTCCACAACGCGGCACCTAACGCGCGGATTACGCTCAAGCCAAGCGGTCACACTTTTGACGTTTTGTTGAGCGGCAGAAAAAAACGTGCTAGTCTTCCCGTCGGCCATAATGACCACACACGCACACCAAGAGCGAGCAAGTTGCGCACACGCGACACACATGCCAGAAGGCGTAGAACAGCTCTGGGCCCGTTTCCAGTCAGAAAACAAAGCTCTGGGCCCGTTTCCAGTCAGAAAACAAAACTAATTCGTGCCTGCGTGGAGGGCATCGCGGAGCGGCGGAGACGGGCGAAGGGGTTGTGATCAAGAGAGGAGAGCAGACTTGCGAGAGAAGGGCAAGGAGTTGTGATAAAAAGAGGGAAGGATGGGGCGGGAGGGCGATCTTGAAAACCAAAACACACGGGAAGGAGGCAGGTTGGGCAGCTTGCTCGAAAGGTCCGCGAAACTCACCCATAGAAAAACTTGGAAAGAGTGCCTGTGCACGCAGAAGTCAAAGCATGACCGCCTCGATCGGTGCGCGCAGCGGTGTTCGAAGAATCGGCGGCCATGGTCGAAAAATCGTTTTGTTGCGCCGGCGGGTTTGCGTGGCTTCACGAACTTCGATACTTTGCGATTCGTTCCACGCAAATTAACAGCCGTTTTCACGCTTCCGCACGCGCGCGGAAGGCATGCTGAGCCAAGTGCGAAGTGAGAGAGAACAAGTCCTAAACATGAAACGAATCGCAAATTAGCAGAGTTGGTGGGGTAGCGTACGCGCATGCACTAGACGCAGACTATCGGATACAGTCTGTGGCCGACGATGTTGGCAAATGGTCTGGTCACTCCAGGCCAGCAGCGCCAAGGACAGTATCAGTGATCGAAAAAAGGGCAGATGGCTGACCAGTCTTCGAAAGATCGGTGGCAGTGTGAAAACACGGTCCTCGTCTGGCGATGCCGGGTGCTCAGAGTATCGGGGAGACAAAGGATGGAGGGGTGCGTAACTAAAAGGAGTTGGGGCATGAAGCAAGGAAACAGCTCTCTTTCCACCATGGGTTGGGGAGAACGGCAACTAGAGGGTAGCAGAGGCAGGGTCGGTGTTTAACAATAAGAATGTATGGGCACCTCGCCGATGCTTGATCGGTGGTCGAAATTGGTTTCCCGGGAAGTCGGCAGACCGCTGACTTCGTTCGCTGTAACCGATCAGCAGCGCTCCGAGACGTTCGTTGTAAGTGAGATTTTGTGTCATTGAACCAATGTATATTTTCACGGTCACGCGGATACTGTTCGCTTTAAGCGAAAGTTCGTTTTAAGGGGAGACGCTCCTCGAAAAAGTTTTTTTTAAATTTCTAGTAATAGAGACTTGAAAAGTTTGTTATTAGTATAGTTTTTCATGCAGATTTCAAATATGCAATCATTTTTTGTGTAGCTGCTATAATTATTGAGTTATGCCATAAACAATAGCAAAAAGTTA